TTAGACTTAAGTAGTTTAGAATTCAACGATCTGATTGCAGAGTTCAGAGATTATTAGAGCAAATGGGACCTGATCAATGCCTCAGGTCTTTTTTTTTTTTAGTGTGTTAATTAATTAATCAACAGGAGCAGAAATATATGTGTAATGTAAATTAACTCAGTCTCAAATTACCAGAATATCAGAAATGTTCGTAAGCAGAAAAGGGGAATCCAAAAGCAGCAGGATTATTGCTTTTATCTGTGTGGCACCACTTTCTTAGGTGATGTCCTGAGCTAGATATATTTGAGTGATTGATATTATTGTTTCTGCTGTGCTCTCCTGGGGAAAAGGATCAGCTTTTGAGGCAAAAGAAGAAATTCAGTAACTGAAATATTAATGATTCACAGTTGGCCCTTGAATCCATTTGTTGTCACTGTTTCTCTTCGTTTGCATTAACTCCTCCAAACCAAGTTGTTTTGCTGTGATCTAGTATGGAATATAGTTTCCCTAATCCCCAAGTCTACATTAATTTGCAAGATTTCCCCACAAAACAAAGGAATTTTCTGTGGACTATTCTGTTTACCTTTGCCAATGATTTTTTTAGTTATTTTTTCCATAGCTTTGTCTTTTAGTGTGGTCACATACAAGCTTTGTTCTCCCCTAGTTGTTCTTTATTAAAAGTCTTCTATTCTTGGTCTTCAGAGTACATGAAAGCTTTGTGCTATTTTTCCCAAGGACTGTTTATTGCTTCCATCGCATGGGAAGGTAGGATACTTGATTCGTTTTGGAGTTTGGGGACATTCTCCTGTTCCTGTTTCCACTCCTCTACTTTCAACTGTATGTGGGGACCAGACCAACTCATCAGTCAGGTCATCTCACTGTAGCAGTCAGCTTTTTTTAGAATCAAAAAGTTTTCAGGTTCAAACCTTGAAGTGCTTTCTTTCAGGCTTCATGTACCAGTTCTGTTGTGGATTTTTATGCACACAACAACTTGTATTAACAATAAAAGGGTAGTGTGCATTATCTGGGATAAAAGGAAACGCTGGGGTTTCAGAAAAGAAAAGGAATGATGAGTGCCAGCATTTGGCCGGACAGTTCCTACAAACAGAGAAAATCAGTATTTAATTAACACACAGAATATAATCTTTCACAAACTCTGTGGGCTGGAGCACTATGGCTATTTCAGCTGCTCCAACCTTACCTGCTGTTTTGGAGACAGCAGTAACAATTGGCCAGCCACCAGAATTGCCCGTCTTAGTGAAAGAACCTGTAATACCATGTAAAATTCACTCCTGAGACCAAAGGACATGAAGCTGGCTAAGCCCAGCCAATAGATCCTTTGCCTAACTCTCTCCCTGTTTAGCTTTTGTAGACATGGCAGGAGACTGAAGAGGAAGGTGATAGTAAGGCAAGTTCTGTGTAGGTATTTCACACTCATCTCAAGGAGACAATTTTCCTTTTTGTCACTTGTGTGATTTTATTCTCTATGTAGATAGACAGATTCCTTGAATCATCACATAAATTAAAAATTCCATTTTGCTTCCATGAACTGTGAGTCTCCTTGTGTCTGGGGCTGTCATGTGCTAACAAGATACAGGAGAGGTGCCAGTGTGTCAGTCATTACAGACTTTCTCCATCTAGCTTACTCTGAGCTAGGAGAGGCAATCGAGGAATGGGATCTTAAATAAGGACAGCGTATCTCTCTGGGCAGCTGAGTGGTAATATTTGGATTTCAAAGCCAGGAAGGATTTTTGAAAGCAGAAGCAGCTTGGTCAGGAAAAGATATGAGGAAAGATAAAGTGATGCACAGACACAGTGCGGGGTGGGTGGGGTGTCCTGTGACACAGAGGCAGTAGGGAAACAGTGGAAGCGACCATTCGAAGGAGCTGCTGTCTGCTGGTGGGGGACGGGAGGGGAAGGTCCCTGAGCACCAAAGGGGTCTCACAAAATCTCAGGGAAAATTCAAGAGTGAGGAATGTAGGCAGAGAGATGTACGTGTGTTTACTGTTTCACGTGGCTCTGTGTTATCTCTTGTGGTCATTAAAGTGGAGTGACTGCTTCTGTGACAGTTTGGAAAGTCTGTACATTACCTGATTCGACTTCATGGGATCCTGGAGAGATAAATTATCATTCAGATGTTGGCTATGAATGAGCTCTGGGAAGGAGTGAGTTGAAGCCATGGGGATTCGGCAGCAGTCACAGGGTCTAAACAGGTGTCTCTGTTCTTAGAAGATAGAAGAGATTGCCTGGAGACCCAAAGCAGATACAAAAACTTCAGAGTGTTTTTGCATGAAAGCAGACTGAGGAGTTGTGAGTGTCCTGCAAGAGGTATAATCTAGGCTGTAGTATCTTGATCGTTGAATTCTTACCTGTAGTAAAATGAGAGAGACTGGAAGAACAACAAAACATGCAAATAGTAAGATAATAAACAGTACCATCAGTGGCTCCAAGCATTGTCTGGCATACAGACATACACAAGCCAGCCACAAAATTGAAATCATACCACATGCATGTTATCATAATTTGCACTGAACCCCCCCAAAATAATTCCTAACAGCAGACAGGCTGTTAGCTCAGGCTTAGTGCCATATTACTGTAGCTACGTAGCTGCTGACTCCTTTGGAGCATGGGAAAAAGAAGCTCCTGGTCACTTGCAGCATGGTTAAAGTAACTCACGTCTGTTGGCAAATGACCATGTGCACCCTGTGCTTGCAGGAATAAGGTCAGATAGCCAGCATTTAAGTCACTGACTTTGCATGTTTTTTCATGCAGGATGATGTGATAGCATTGGCCTGTGTGTATGACCAGCTATCTGAGATGAAGTCAAAGCACAACCTCCTCTGAGGCAATTTAAAAGGAGTGAAACGCTCAAGAGGATAATGTGGAGCAAACTGATGTAAATGGTTCTTCTGCATAAGCTGCAATTTTTGTACTTTGTTTTGGGAGTGAGGGGAGCGTGCCTTGCTGTTTGGTCTGGGTTTACATAAATTCAGAAAATGTTATGAATTTTTTTTTTCTGAAAATATAACTTAACTGTCGAGAGGGAGGTGAAGCTTTTGTGGTTAAGGGAAAATATTATAATAGAAAAATTAGGGATTATTGAGATGTCCATGTTCCAGACTTATTAGGCTTGAAAATAGATAAACTGGGGAGATTACTTTGTGTTGTGATTTAACCCCAGTTGGCAACTAAGCACCACGCAGCCACTCACTCGCTTGCCCCCCACCCAGTGGGATGGGGGAGAAAATCGGGAAAAGGAGTAAAACTCGTGCGTTGAGATAAGAACAGTTTAATAGAACAGAGAAGAAGAAACTCATAATGATAAGACTAATAAAATGACAACAGTAATAATGAAAGGATTGGAGTGTACAAATGATGCACAGTGTAATTGCTCACCACCCACCGATCGACACCCAGCTAGTCCCTGAGCGGCGATCCCCCGCCCCCACTCCCCCCAGTTTCTATACTAGATGTGGCATCACATGGTATGGAATACCCCGTTGGCCACTTTGGGTCAGCTGCCCTGGCTGTGTCCTGTGCCAACTTCTTTTGCCCCTCCAGCTTTCTTGCTGGCTGGGCACGAGAACCTGAAAAATCCTTGACTTTAGACTAAACATTACTTAGCAACAACTGAAAACAGCAGTGTGTTATCAACATTCTTGTCATACCTAGCTCAAAAATGTAGCACCGTACCAGCTACTAGGAAGACAATTAACTCCATCCCAGCTGAAACCAGGATACTTTGTATGATTTCTACAAATGTAAATGGATATATAATTATCAGTATAAAATATTAGTGCATATTTACTGTATAATAATTAATTCAACTTCATAAGCAAGTGAAGATTACCTCAAATTTACATACAATGTGAAGAAAAGTCCCTTTATCCTCTGTAACTGCAGCATTTGGCAGATTCAGGAATAAATAATCTTTTGTGGCAAGGGTATGCCTTATCAAACATATGCAGATCAGTGCTAATTAATGCTAATTAAGGTTTCCTGTCTATCTAGTTGGAAAAACGTCCAAATGTTATGAAATCCAGTTAGTATGCCTATTATCCTAATTGTTTTATATGGGATGGTTCTTAATTAAAATATGTAAATTGACCTTAATTGCTATATACTAATGGAGGTTCATGTTATCTCACTAAAAATGACAAGATGGTGAGGAGGGGTACTTAAACAAATAATGCTGATACATTTGTAAATAAATGACCTTTACTCAAAATTATTTTTAATTGGAAATTGGCAAAAGGAACATTTTGCCATCTATGTTTCTCTTTAATTTTAAATAATGTCAGAATTTACAGTTCTTTGTTAATAGAGATATGGTGACATTGCAGCTTAATTAAGACTACTAAACAAGTCAACATTTTGTGTGTTTACTGTATGTTTCAAAATTGTTTGCTAACCTCATGTTGACCTTCAGAAATGTCGTGCTTTACAATATTGATGTTAATTTTCACTGGTTTTGGTTTTAGTTTTTGATGTTGATCTCTCAATCATATAATTTCATTTGTGAATTTTGATACACTCATATACTGGACCCGTGACCCTGACTTTTCAGCAGAAAGGCTGGGGGGCAGCACCTCTTTGCACTTCACCTGTTAGTGTAGAACATGGACTTTGAACATCTTTGGGGAGGAGAGTTCACATGTATGCTGTCAGATGACTGAGGCCTACACCGTTTTTTACACAAAGTCTTGTATGCCCTCTACCCAACACAAAGGCATTATTTGCATGATAGTTTGTATGGCAGTTTATAGGTGCCCCATATTGGCATTTTCTTGATAGTTATCATACCATTTCCCACACACAGCCAACATTTTTGTCCTCTGATGTAGAGAATCTAATTAGAGAATCTGCTAATGTAGAGAACTGGCCTATAATTGTAATTTTCACCCATAATAACAGTAGATTTTTAGAACACCTGATACATTTAAGTTTATATTATGTCATAGACATCATTGATATATGCTTCACTTTGCAAAACCAATCTGAAATGTTTCACTGTTTTGCAGGATATTGTGACCAATGTCTCTCCAAGGATTGTGCGTGGAATTACTTCAGGTCCTATGTACGGCCCAGGCCAAGGCTCTTTTCTAAACATCGAACTGATCAGTGAGAAAACAGCAGCATATTGGTGTAAAAGTGTTGCTGAACTGAAGGCTGACTTTCCAAACCATGTAAGTACCACTCAGTCATAAAGATGCAACATACTTATTTAGAATCTCCAGTTTACAGATCTGTGAAAACTCACCTATTTAATGCTTATTAAAAAGAATGCCAGTTGCTTTACTGACATATGAATATGTTATTAAAAACCAGAAAAGCCCATCCAAATAATCTTTATGACAGAAAATTCTGTGAAATGACGGTTATACAAACAGAACAGTCATGATTTTTTAGTTAGGCTGATGTTTACATTCAAATAGATAATATCAAGGGAAAGAGTTGATCCCAGTGTGGATGCTTGTCAGTTCTGCTGTGAATAATTTTGTATTTAAGATCATATTTAAAGATGTAACTTATAATAATCATTTTCATTGTGAATTGAATTTGATTATAAAAGGAATCTTTGTTCTTTTCATTCTTAATCCAAATGTGAAAGATACTTCTAATATTTTTATAAGCAATTGGCTGCTTTAGGAGAAAAAAACCAATACTGGCTTAAAGTTAACTTCACGCCAAGGATAGAGTTTTGTTAGAGCCTTCTTGGCTATCTGTCTAGAAGGTAATGATCAAAGTTGGGAGCTATGACACCAGCTAGCTGGCATAACTGGTTTTCAGCTGCTGCTCTAGTGAATAAGAACAACGAGGTGGAAAGCAAAATTCTCCTCAATCATTATCTCAAATGAATAGAGCTAGAAATCCCAGAGCCTACAGGTCTGCTGTCTTGAAGTTATTACCTCCATGGTTCACCTGTGAACAAAATAAGTGAACGTTCCTGAATATATTATGACATGAAGATAATCAGTTGGGTTTTTACCTTATTCCTGGAGTTTAAATGTATACATCGGCAAGTATAAAAATCTTTAAACATGTTGTATTGATAGTGAAAGTTAAGTGCTGCATGTTTAATATCCTACTTCACTATGGATGGACTGTGTGTTTCTTTGCTGAGGTTTCTGTCACTTCATTTGCTGTGACTGAGCGTCATAATAGTGAAAGTGTGAACCAAAAGATAATACTGTAATTCTCTGATTTTGATTTTAATGTCCTTTGTCAAAGCCCTGGATATTGCATGCAGGCAGACCATTGGCCATTTCTGCTGTGGGAATGGCCTCCCATCACAGTCTTCACCGAAAATCTATCCCAGCACTTTGTGCTCGAGACCAAACCATTCTTTTCTGTGAGGAAAAGCACTAGCAGCAATTTCAAAAGGAGAATTTGAATTTTCTGAGACCTGGCCTCTTGTGTGGGATGAAGTCCCACGCTTCCATGGTTCCTGGGGTGAACATCTTCTGATCATCCCTCACTATGTGAGTTATGACTTTGAGGATGTGAATTCAGGTCCTGCAAGTTAGCTGTGGCTGCTGCTGTGGCATCTTTGAGGTTGGTAAAGCCTGCGTGGGCACAGGGAAAGCAGCACCGAGCAGTAGACCTTGGCTTTGCTCACAGGGGTATTTAAAATGAGCCCATGACCTCATCTAAGGACTGTCATAATTATAATGGTAAAACTGTTGCTAACTGAAAACAGATTTTTGTTCACTGAGTAGAAATCTCTTGGTGCCTATTTTGAAATATTCTGTATAAATAGAGCTTGCAGAATTCCCCCCCCACACCCCAATTCCTATTCACTCCTCTAGAAAGGCTTTTTAACTTTGATGTGTTTTATTAAAACCAAAAACAGTTTCTGAGAACTGTTTGGGTGAATGTAATTAACAAGCAAAGAATGACATTTTCTGCTCAAATGAAGGCCAAACAGAGATGATGACACAAGTGATTACAGTAAAAAAACTTACCTTGCTATGGTAAATATTAAAAACAAATGAAAAATTATACATAATTACTTTTGCTATGTAATACAAGTAATTTAAGGTAAGATTTATCTTACAGATGAAAAGGGTATGAGCAAAATAGCTACCTCACTAGAAGATGATCCCACAACAGCATCCTATCCCGTGCCATTAGGAAGAAGCGAACCATAACACAAAAAGAGCAGCTAAATTCCCCCAACAAAGCCTAGGATTTAAACTAAATTTTGCAAAAGAGGACCACCAGTCACAGCTCAGTGGATAATGTCACGTAACTGTGACATGTTGCCTCTATAGATCAGGAGCTAGCATCTCCCTTGTGCTGTCTTCACCCCTGTAGTGAGGGGCCTCATTCTTTGGCTCTTCTGACTCCTGATGCTTGCTTGTAGCTTGCAATTATCTCTGACTGGCAGCCTTTCCTAGTCTTCTCTTCTATTAGCTTGTCCCTTCAACCTTGAATCCACTTCAAGTGGACTAGGGCAAAAGCTGCCACCAGCAGAAACTTGCTTCAATGCCACCGGCAGTGAATTAAATATTTGTAAGGGTCCAAGCAGAGGAGAAAGCAGAAAGAGAAAGTATCTGAATTTTGTATGTTTGCTTGTGAAGTATCATCAAAACCTTTGCTGTTTCAATTTGGGATTTTTTTAATTGAGTTAATTTAATATCACTATTACTGTTTTTTCAGAAAACACACACACACAAGAAGAAATTAGATGGCATGCACAGTCCAGGCCCAAGCTGATTTTTTTAATTTTTTTTTTTTTTTTTTAGTTTTTTAAATCAAGTGCTTCTCTGTTAAAATGATTTGCAGTTAAAAATGGGATTGTTTTCTTTCTGGTACTTCAGTCATCTCAGTAAGGTATTACTTCAGCAACTTGGCTGAGACCATTTAAAACATATGGTATTATTCAGTGTTGTTTATTCTTAAATTTTCAGAGGATGTAATGTTACAAACACTGTGTCCACTGCAAGAAAACAACCTTTCAGTCAGAGAGCTGTGAAAGTGAGAAGAAAATTGGTCTGTTTGTATCTGTTGTCTTCTTTTTACTTTCCCAGATATTGTAGTTTTACTTATTTATGTTGACCTGTGTTTGTGATATCCAAACACCTTCCTTACAAGGTTAACTAAGGGTTTTGTTATGAGATTCAATTAAGTATTTATATTTTTCTGTCTTATGGCCACACATAGCATCTGATACCACAGGATTTATCATTCTGTGCAATTATTAATCAGGAGAAAATGGATTTTTTTTGTTCTGTAGTAGTAGAGACTGAGAACTTGACAGTGAGAAAAGATGGAACAATTATTTTATTAATTTAGTAGTCTTAAATGTAATATTAAAATATCCCTTCTTAATTAGTATAAAGCTGACACGTTACTGGCAAATTTGCATCCCCACTCCCCCAAAAAACATTGTTTGTAAAGTGCTATATTAATCTAAAATTCAAGAAAAAAGTGAAAGAAAAATATCAATAATCAAAATTTTCAGATTGAAATTTAATTGCTGCTTGTTTGAGAGGAATGACTACTGAAACCATAATCATAGTCTGGTAGTCTGCTCACTTTACTCCCTGCTATAGAGGGACATTTTGGGCCAAGGCCAATAAAAGCTGTTCCCGTGTAATACAAATATTATCTCAACATCATAATGAGAAATAAGAAGACTCTCCCTCTCTAAGTCCTGCTTAGACTGGTTTGAAATGGCAGAGGGGAGATTTGGAGGTGGGGAGTGAGCGAGTGGCTGGGTAGGGGCTTAGCTGCTGACTGAGGTCAACCCACCACCGATGGGAAATGCATAAAGTTGTCAGTTTGTGTTAAGAACACTAGACCAAAATTTGGACATGCAGTATTTGAAGTGCTTTAGATAGAGGGGCAAAAGAACTAACACTAATGCCACAAGATGTCCTGCTTTCATGTTTTATTTACCAAGGAGATCCATAACTATAGGGTGTATTGAGGTACTTTTCAGCCAAAATGTGGCTGAAAAAATGGCATGTTATGGTATATTCAAGAAATTAGTTTATTTAAGAAATATGAATTTGGCCAAGTAGAACTCACCTAAGGATATGATCAGGAATGAAAACTGCAGGAAAAAAAAATAATTCACTTTTACTTTAGCAAAAGTCTACAAACTTTAATCAGCAGGAAGTGGCTGAGAAAGTTGAAAAGGAAATTATAAAACCTTGGAAGAGAACATATTGCTGAAATTTTATATTCACATACTTGACATTGGCTACAATACGGCCATTATCTGTGCTGGGAACTGTGAATACTGGTAGTGGCAGTACATCTTTGTGTGCCAGTAAAACAAGGAGCTGTGTGCATAGTGAAGCTGGCAATCATGAGAATCATTTTTAGTGATTGCGAGGGAATGGGATATATTTGTGGTAGCACTTGTTTCACCACAAAAAGCTTACAAACTGCTGCTGTTCCTCATCAAAACCTTTTGCTTACCATAGCTCAGCCTCCTCATTTGAGTTGCTAAGTCACCTGCTTACACAAATGTCTGTTCTTCCAGTCCCATAAACATGTCTATATAGTTATACTGTCTAGTAGCTGGCCAAATATTTTGAGGTTGCATATTATCCTGAAACCTCCTTAGCATTTGCACTGGGGAGAACAAGCTTGAGAAGAGCAAGGTTTGAAAAAGGTAAAACACTCCTCTACAGAAAAATGTGAACTGAGGTGATGGACACAGTTGCCAGCTAGTCTTTCTCCACCTTCCCAAAATTGTAACTGGTGCCCTATAGATGATAAAAAAGTAAGCAAATTAATGAAGACCCTCAACATACAAATTAGTTGGGGTCTGAGCATGTGCAGGAGGTCACAGCAGTACAGATAAAGGGCTTTGAAAGGACACTTAATGAAACAAAGTAGATTGCAGGGGAAATGTCATTCCCCACAGGGCTAACAGAAGTCCATCACAAACAAGAAAATGCCTGAGAAATTTGTACTGAGAGGAAGTACTGGGATCTTGGAAGAAGATGCCAAATGGAGTATTTTTCAATATTGCTATATTAGTATACTGAAGTCTTAAAAGTAACTTTTTGGCCTCCTAACTGAACACATGCGCTGCTGCATGACTCTAAGGAATGTACATAGGATACCAGATTGTCAGCTGTGACACTGATTCTGTGATTCAGATATCAGTGTCGTGACGTGTTGAATTGAGAAACCTCTTCTGCTAGAAACACTAAGTACTCTTGGA